GCAAAGGGTTCAACTGCGTACGTGACTTGAAAAACCTTATCCATGCCAGACACCTTGACCTTGTACACACGCTCAATTTCCGATCACTCTGTCTCCAACCTTATGCAACATGCCGACTTTTCAACCTCGTCTCTGAATAAGAAGAATGCGTTCTTTGTGAAAACCGCCGCTCCACTCTTCTGAAGTGAGACTAAGACATTGCTTGTGATGGTTCGTTCTCGATGAATGGATTCAAAATCAGCATGACGCTCATTCTCCCTCATATCCCTAGTCCAACGATCAAAGTGAATAAAGAACTCAAGGAGATTTTTATCCTTCTCGATATAATTGGCAAGTTGAGAGTTCAGTCCTTCACATCTTGATGTTGTACTCAAGCCTGCGAAGAACTTCGAACGTAAATATGCATACCCCCATTCATGTCTTTGCTCAAATAAATTGGAGACCCAATTGTTGTGCTGAAGGGAGCATTCCTCAACCACTGATTTCCACTTTTCTTCGAATTCTGAAGGTTCCCTATCAGCTGACACAAAATGCTTCCATCGGGGCAAAAAAGTAGGATGATTCTTCACATTTCTGGTAATAGTCTTGTCTATATGCCAGGAACATAGACGATATGTTGCATCGGGAAATACTTTCTGAATAGCATTACGCATTGCTCTATCCCCATCTGTAATTACAGTCTTGGGATCTACACCGCCTAGCCTTCTCTTCAAAGCTCCCAACACCCAAACATAATTTTCCTCTCTCTCGTTAGCCAAGAAAGCACATGCAAATACGCAAGTTTGCAATGGTGGTTGACACCTAAAAAAGTTCAAACAAAGTTAGATTATGCAAACTTCTAGGGTTATTTTAGCATGCTCGGGATAATTCTATGTGTGAAGGAAAAGTACCTGAAAAAATCACGAGAGGCATCTGGTAAATGTTCCTTTTGTAAGTAGCATCGAATGCCAGTAATTCTCCAAAGCATGCATAATCAACAACAGAAATACTATCGGCCCAGAAAATGTTAATAAGCCGGTCGTCGTCATCCTTCTTTAGTTCAATAACGAAATGCTCGTCCGCGCTGCATTTAGCTTGCAGGTAGGCTAGGGCTGTTGCGGCATCACCTTCACTGATTTGTTCTTTCCTCTCTTTGTCCACATAATTATATGCATCCTTCCTCGTGTACCCCAAATTGTCGTAGCCTCCTGCTTCTGATACGGCCAGATTCACAATTTGAGAAGTTTTGAAACCTGCAGCTCTTCTAAAATTTATCGCTGCTTTGACTGCATCACCCATACGACGTTTCCCTTTCATGTAGTGTCTATATTCTCTGGGGATCGTTTCATGTGTGTATACATCATCAAACTGGTGCACATACCACTTCCCATCGACATTGTCTTGGTTAACACGCATCTTGGCTCTGCAGTTAAATCTGGTCTCCCCTCTTGCTTCTCTCTTTCGTTATGTGCTCTTCATGCGCCTCTTTCCCTCGCCAGAGCATACATAGTCACGCCATATCATAACTTTGTTCTTATCACGACCAATGTCTGATTTTCTGATGTCGAAGCCTTTGACTAACCCGTAGTCCATGTAGAAATCATAGGCTTCTTCTGTATCATCGAACTTCATTTTTTTTAATATCTTCAGGCTGTAGAAATATGTGATCGGCGACATTATCTTCCTGGGTGGTGTGACTGGCTCCGGCACCAGCGTTTTCTTGGACTTCCTCTGACGTCAATACTAGGACTTCCTCCGACGTCAATGGTGAGTCTGCCTCCGACGTCATTGTCACTGCTGGAAATTTTGGGGAACCAAGGACGTAGATTACAAAACCCTACTGGGAATGATGGCCGAACGCCTTAGTAAAGCCAAACGCCAGCTGACTCTAGCTGTGTACTACGTGTATGGGGAAGGATCAAATATTAATATGAGCGAATATTTACTAATAGCACTCAATTCTTTATTCAATTGAAAAAAGTATATTTTTAATTTTAGGTTTAATAACTACCCATGTTTATCCCAAGTTCATGTACCTTAGACTAAACCCTAACTATTTTTCCGCGGGAAAAATATGGCGCCACAATTTATCCTAACCTTGTATATATAATTAACCTTCATCGGTAGACCAGTGGTTCCATATCCTTCTTTGCCGCGATTTTGAGTACAGAGTTAAAGCTTACATTAGAGGCACAACATGGAAAATAGGAGAATTACTCGCTCTTCGTCCAAGCTTGTGGTATGTATAATAGCTCTTTTTACCATTGAAATTCATTCTAGTTAATTTATTAATCGCAGGTTCACTGTCATTGTAGGAGACAGCCGAATTTGTGACTCCAACAAAGAAACCAAGGATACCCAAAGGTGTAAGCACTCCACCCACTCCTACTTCAGTCATCGTTTTTATTTCGAACGATGAATCTGACTCTGAGGTCACACCAAAGAAGCCAAATGGAAAAAGTATTTGTCTACCTTCTGTTGACAAGGTAATAAAGGTGTCATGTTTGCCATTGAAGTGTTCTTTGCCGTTATTCCGTCATAACGAATGCATTTCAACTCGTGTTTATTTGTGGCCCCTATTCCAGGTTGTTTTGAAGTTTAAGCTACCTACCGCTATGGAATACGATGATGAGCAAATCCAGCTTGCTCACTATATATTTTTAGCCCATCTGCCACCTGACGAAGTATTGGTCAAAACCTCTAACAACTCTTGTACGAGGAAGTCATTGTGGTCCTTAAGCCCTCGCTCATTCGTAGATGCTGAAGTAATCAACGGAACTCCAAAATTTTGTTTTGTTTGTCCACTATCAATGCTTTCTACGTAGAATTATTTTATAACAACTCGATAGTATCATGAAGTGTTTTTTGTCCATTTTATATTAGGTTATAACAGCGATGGCCTGCCACTTGACTCTAGAAGAGTTGTGGACAAATTCCAAGGACGGAAAAGGAGTGTGCTATCTGCCTGCTGAACTACAGGTTGTGGTCCGATTATACTTAATGACAATTTCCTCTCACCAAAAAAATTACAACACATGTTTTTTTAACGTGAATCATATTGTGTTGACAAAATTTCAATTGTGCAACTACCACATGGGCAGGAACTAGTGATTTCATGTGGAATAACACCCAAGATGGCATTAGACCTATACGAATCAAAATTCCTTAGTCGAACCAATATGGTGAACAAGGTAAACTGTTCATCTTAATAAGTATTACATGGTTTGCAGTTTATTTTTTTAATACGTGTTGACAATTTCTGCATATGTAGGTGTGTGTTCCGATGAGAGATAATGCCCATTGGTACTTGGCTGTCATTAAGTTGGACAAGGAAGAAGTCCATATCTTGGATCCACAACCAAATGAAGGCCGCAATTCCTTTCGACTACAATCTGTTCAAACAATGGTAAATTTGTGACATTGTGCCGTTATAACGCAAAAAAATGTAAATAACTCTTTCTAAGTACAAACGTTTCTTAATTTGTACAGATGAGATTTATGCAAGCCTTGTGGAAGATTCTCTATCGTGAACAAGGTCCGGGATTGTCGCCACCAAGGATTGCGGAGTTTTCGTACCCAAATCCTTCAAAGGATCAAGAACAACTTCATCGGAAAGTATGCCCATTTTTTGTGATATTAAACGACGACTTATCAACTTGGTTCTTATCACGCAATGCTTTTATTTTATGTAGGTCTGACAGTGGAGTCTGGGTATGCATGTGGATGTATGGCGCAAGCTGGGACTCCTCTTATATTTGGGTAAAGACAATTCTAATTCGCATATTAGAAAACCACAATTGATTATTATTTTTGAATCATGCGGTAAGCACCATGTTTGTTGATGTTGATAGCCATGCACTCAAGTGAGGTGGATGCAGATCGCTTTGTACCTTGTTCGAGAGCCCATGAACTACATAAGGCATATGGTGCTCACGGAAGTAAGAAGAGTTGCACCTCAAGTTGAAGCTGCAGTGGAAGAGTACAAGAAAACCCATGAAAGGAGGAAAAAGGAAAGAGAAGAGCACAAGGAAACCCAGTCAACGAGCCCAAGAACAACCTGATTTTTCGTTTTAGTTTTCAAGATGATGGACAACAGTTATGTTTTTTTTTCTCAGGATGATGGACAACCGTTTTTTATTTGGTTCGGTGAATGCTGTTTATTTTTTATTTTTATATTTGGTTTTTGGTTTGGTGAATGCTTTTTATATTTGGTTTTTGGTTTGGTTTGGTGAATGCTTTTTATGTTTGGTTTTTGGTTTGGTTTGGTTTTTGGTTTCTATATTTGGTTTTTGGTCTTGTGAATGCTTTCTATATTTGGTTTGGTTTGGTTTTTTTTTCGTGGAAATGGCAAAGGGACTTCACCAAAATTCCAGCTTCCAACTTGTGAGTGAGGTTGCTTCTGTTCAAGGCTTCAAGCCATTGTATCTTGTAGAGAGGTTTAATTGGGATCATGTATAGTTAAACTGATTGGCTCCCAATCGTATAATTAAATTTGCATTCATGTATAGGTAACCCAAAAGGTAAAACTGATTGGCTCCCAATCAGTATAATTATTGACCATACCCCGTACAAGGCAGATAGAAAATTCTTGTGTAATTAATTTAATGTTCCTAGGATATGGAAAGGCTCCCATTCCTTGAATTTCCACCAACGATGTTTTCACTCCCCTTTTAGTCAGGGAATTCATTGTAGTAATAAATACAATAAAAAGGCATACATAATTAATGGATTCTTTATTGTGTATAATTAAAATGATATTTTACTATAAACGAAGCATGATAGATTCACAGGGGGATAAAAGAAGCATGTGTCTTGATGAAAAAGGGGGAAAAATCACCATAGATAAAAAAATCATTATAATCAAGCCATATCCATACTATTCACGCCTATCATCGTCACTATACTTGTGACCAAATATAAATAAAACCATAATTTTCGAAAACCATTAAAAAATGAAGATTAAATAAGTAACACATTCTTCGACCTAATTGGAACTGCTTAGAACAAAAGCGGATTAAAATCTCCCCCAATGAAATTCATTTGCAATTTCATAGGTAGTCCCCTACTTCCACTTCTATAATTTTGAGAAAACATTGCAATTTCATCAATAGTCCCCACTCGTGGGCCAATTTCAATTGCAAGCAAATTTGCACCCTTGCAATAGCTTCTCACATCATAGCAAGTGTAGGATGCAATTGCACCTCCTTGCTTAGGGATGACCATTACTGCATCTCGTCACCTGTCTTAGGGAAATTAGCCATGGCAAATTCACAAAATACTGCATGCATAGAAAAATATTTGTCTGAATAATTAAAAAAATGGGAGACTTTCCTAGTCAGATGATGTACTGGCTCCCCTCAGTACCTGACAGTTTTGAGTGCTGGAGAAAAAGACATCCAATGCTGGCCCCTTTGCTGCTCCAACGCTCCACCCCGCCCTGCATCAATCGACTCTCATGTAAGCCGAGGACGTTTGCTTGAGGATGCCTCAGAGGTCTCTTCATGCTCCGTATGCCGAAGGTCAATGAAAGTATTGGTCAATTCGACGATACGGTAGACTGGCAAATAGGCGCACTTGTCCTCCTTAGCATAAACCCCCATATCCATCCCAACCCTTTCAAGAAAGGTGGTCAAGAAGGTGGCATATGGAAAGGCAGTGTACCAGTTTTCCCCTCTAGGAGCAGCCTCAACCATGTTCAGGCACATGAGAGATGCGAGGTTAACAGGAACACCTCTTTGAGCTTGCACAAGGATAAACAGGTCAAGTTTACGAATAATCGAATGACCACGGTACCTTGGCATGAAGCAGTTGACGATCATCTGGTGGAGGAATCGAAGAGGATCTTGGAGGAAAGAAGCCTGGATGCGCCCCTTCGTCAGTTTCGCCAGTTCAACTTCAAACTCAAAATCGTACAGCCGCCCAAGATCGCTTCTGCTATCAATGGGGTGTCCTGCGGCGGGGAGATCGAGGATCTCAGCAAACTGATGAGGCTGGAAGCAGCCTCTATGACCCAGGAAGATCGACACGAGATGAGAATTGCAGGGACCAGACAGCTCTAAATTGTGGTAGAACTTCCTCACCACATGCGGGCAGTAACTGGTGCTTCCTCGACTCCGGAGATCGAAGAACTTTTCCCAGCCAAGATTTTTAATTAGCTTCTTCACTTCTTCAGGGAAAGGACTCAGGTGGATGAACTCGTACTCGACCACAATTGATGTCTTGCTTGTGAATGAAAGATAGTCCCCGAGACTTGCGGTGGATCGGCAGTCTTCGTTTGAAAGAGATAGTATCCCCATTTCCGCAAAAGATTTACCTTTGTTTTCCATGGAGTCACAGGAAGAAGGAACAAGGGAAGGTGAAGATGGAGGAAAGAGAGAATGTAGGTGTAAGAAAAAGTGATCGTGGGGGTTGAGTGTGGAGACGTGAGTGTGATGGAGACGGTTGAGTCTGGAATGTCAAGAGTTAGAAGATTTCGGAAGATATGTAGTAATGATGATGTTAACTCGTGTAGCTTAAACTAGGGTAGGTAAAGCTAGTTAAAGTAGGGTTGGCGCACGAATTGATACTGCAGGAGAAAACAAATGGGCTCGCACGTTCCAGGCCCACTGTTGAATATTGCATGGGTCATGTACAAGCCCACGTTTGAATATTATTTAAAAGCCTGCAAAAATCAATGATCAGACCTAGTCCAACTAGAATTACTCCTAAACGCACCGTTAATACATAAACATAAACTAAGGAGACCTCTCCATCCGATTCGAATCAAATTATGTGTTCTTCATCTTCTTCCTCAATCCTCTGGGCGAGACGAACACTACATATCAGGAAACCTAAATTTCACCGAGAGATATAAGGTTCGAGAAAATCACAATAACGCTAAGACAAGATGACAAAGCACTAGCGACATGAACCGTAGGGTTAGCAAACCTCTTTCAAGGGTTCTTTTGCAAATGAAAAGTTTGATGAACACAATAATAGACACGGTCGCCGTAATCGTGTTAGAAAGAGATAGGCGAGGGGAAATAAAATGGCGAAGAAGAAACAAGACAAAATAAATTGGGAAATTCAATCTACGTCGAATGTGGATGCAAGTAATTGGGATTCAAAAAGATGATTAAGTTGGGGAGTTCAAATTGGATGGGGAGCTTCTCTTAGAACTGTGAAGGGGCGTCCCTCCAAGATGAGAGAGGGATCGTGTAATTGGTTAGGGGGCAGTGGGTCTACCCAATTGGGTTTGCAGTCTTAATCAATTTAATTTAATCGGGTTAGTTAGTTGGACTAGGATGAAAAAAAACTTAACGCGGCAGGAGCCTTTTTGTAATTTGTTTAGCTATTTAGTGCGCAGGAAGGTTTAACAAACGTGAGCCGTGAAGATTGAAAATGAATGGTTAAGATCGGCCAAGGTACCCGTACCCGGATTTTTCCCTGGGCACCGTAGAAGTCACCATATATATATATGGTTTGAGGCCCGGTGAGAAGTTACCAATCATCTTCAAAGATAGACGAGGGGCTGGTCGTAATGGTAGCGTTTGGGGAAGCTATCTTGGCACAATCATAAGAATCCCACAAATGTGTCCGGTAAGAGTTAAGAAATGGGTTGACATAGGCAACGAAGAAAAATAACATATGTGGGCAGCAGCTAAGGTACTCTGTATTTATATGTTATTTCATTTGGCTCTTAAGTATAAAGTCTTAGTGAATTAGAAGCTAAGTATTGTCATTGTTACATTATGTAGGAATACTTTACACATCCTCAAATGGAATCCTTTAAGAAAGATGTTATCAATCATATGAGCGCCTTGTGGAGAACTTGGAGATCTAAAATGAACTGTGATCATATGAAAAAGCATGACAACTTGCAAGATATCCTCAACGATGTTCTGGAATTCGTAAGTAAAGAGGATTGGGAGTGGCTAGTGAAGGAGAAGTTCCTTTGCAAAGAATTTAATGTAAAATCATCATACTTTACTATTGTCTCATATTGGTTCACTTAATAATTTATTTAATAGTCAATTCTCACTTTACATAGAAGATGAACAAGACCAATGAGGAGAATAGAGTGTTGAAAACAATGAATCAACATAGCGGAAGAAGACTTGTTCGACAAATTGCGCTGGATTTGGTAAATATTATTTTCCGTTCTCCTTTTAGTTTGCAATTGATGATTCTGAAGCTCCCAACCTCTGTTTATTAGCCTATTGTATTGATTAAAGAACGAAATTAACATTGTTATAGTAGGAATACAAAGACAATATGCTGCCCAATTGTTGTTTCCGACTTATAATATGATATTGTATATGTGCTGCCCTAGTGTTAGGGAAATTAGTTGATTAATAATCCAACCTATATTTAGTAGCTTATTGTATACTAATTGTTCTTACATTGTAGGAAGAGAATTTGGGCAGACCTCCAACTGTAGCTGAGCTTGTGTTTGAGAGATATAAAGAAGGAGACATGATAAAAGAGGACGCAACAATTGAAAGACATGTAATTTCAATTCAAAACTCTTGCCTTTAATAACTTAGTTTGCTTTCCTATTTTAACTATGATGTGTGTTCTTGGTTAGGCTAAAATACTTGAGATAATAGAAGCAAATCCGAACTTCACTGCACTTGAAGTGGTATAAGCAATATAAGGAGAACAAAAGCGTGGTCATGTGATTTTTTTTTTTTTTTGCGGGGGATTTAGACCTAAGGATTTGAAGAGCTCAACTTCCACAACGGATGCAAATGATGCAAATTTGGAAGCTCGATTAAGAAGATCAGTGAAGAAAAGAAAGCTCTTCAACAAACCGTCACTGAACTGAAAGATACGGTTTCTGAACAAGCTGAAGAGATGGCCAATATGAAAGATGAAATGAAGAAGTTGCAAGAGTTGTTCAAAAGTAGTCAAAATCGAAAAAATTAGGTAAGTAAACTTGTGCTTCCTAGACAACATTAGAACACCAAATTCTAATCTTATTGAGTTGCTGTGTTTTGTTGTTTGGATATAGAACACTGAACTCTTATCCTTTTATTAGCTGCTAGTTTTTTATTGTTTGGAGAGTTTGATTGCATATGAAATCAGTTTTAGAACATGAGTTCCTACTGTTTGTTGAGCTGCTGTGATTTTGTTGTTTCGAGTGTGGTTGCCTATGAAATTAGTTACAGAAAACTGAATTCCTGGCTGTTTGTTGAGTTGTTGTATTTTTGTTCTTTGGATGAGTTTGCTGGCCTATGAGATCAGTTTCAAAACACTCAATTCCAAGCTGTTTGTTCAGCTGCTGTGTTTTTGTTGTTTGGAGAGTGTGGCTACCTATGAAATTATCTCTAGAACACTAAATTCATGGCTGTCTATTGTGATGTTATTTGGTTCTTCTTTGGAGAGTGTTGATGCTTCTAAAAGCCGTTCCAGACATTTCATTCTTGGTTGTTTATTAGGTTGTTTTGGTCGTTCTTTGGAGAATGTTACAGCTTGAAGGCATTTTAGAACAATCAATTCATGAATTTTTATTGAGATGTTTTATTGTTGTTTGACAGTGCTGCTATCTTTCATTGGTTCTAGAATTATTTGTTTTAGTATGTATATGAATAAATGTGTTATTTCTAATGTTAGTTTTTCTATACATGTTTGTAGTATTGTTTAACAAAGCTAATTTTAGTAATTTCTCTTTTATAATTCAGAAGTGCAACATAAAAGGTGGGCGGCTGAAAGACAATTTTGTTATTGAAGAAACCTAGAAACTACTCTAGCTTATTTTGTTGAAGCATTGGTATTTTGTGATATGATGGATTAGATAGGTTCCATGTCCGTAAAATGCTTCCAGAATAGATTTCTTAATTGTAAACTAACGTTGACGAGTGAATGATATGTATATTGATAAGTCTTCTTAATTGTTTCAAGCGAAGCTTCAATCCGTAACTATTGCAGGTTATCCAGGTTACTTTTAGCTACTATCAATTAAAGTGTTTCCTGTGACTAGTTGTGAAACTTTCCCGTGACTAAATGTTTAATAACAATAATAGAATTCTTCCGTACCTAGAGAAAAGTATCCATCACGAGATTCACGTGACTAGCAGCAACTATCTATAACGGGATTTTACTGTTACTAATAAGAACTAACATCACGGGTTTCCCTTGATGGTTGAGACAAAACCCATTACTTTAGCATGGACACCGGTTTAGCATTCCCGTGACTTTTGGACGAAATCCCGTGCCAAATAACTCAATTTGTCACAGGAAATACCGTGGCTAGTTTATATTTTCATCACGTTATTGTTCCCGTGTTAAATACTTAGTTGCGGGAATCACCGTGACAGTATAGATAATTTGACATGGGAATATTCCCGTTATTGTTTATTAGATATCACGGGAATTCCCGTGATTATTGATATTCAATAACGGGCATGTTTGTCACGGGAAATACCGTGATGAAAGGTGCATTTTCCTGTAGTGTGAGCTCAACAAGCCACCGAGTCGAGCTAGCTCGCGAGCTCCACGAGCTGCAGAAGGCTAAGCTCAAGCTCGACTCATTAGTAAACGAGTCGAGTTTCGAACGAGCTTTTCCCGAGTCGAACATCGAGCCGCTCGTGAATAGCTCGGCTCATTTGGAGCCCTATGTGAAGCGACCCAAGTGCTCGAATTGCTCGCTTGCTCCCCAACCCGCGGCAGTTATAGCTGAGTATCCTCATTTATGTCCGGAAGGGGATAGGTTCCCCGCACCGTTCAATTGGATATGTTGTGTGCCAACGTTATCTTTCCTGTTGGATGCATTATCATATATCCTTTTGTTTTGGGAAACCTCGTTCAACTTCTCTTTTGTCCCACTCAGATTGGTGTTTCTTGCTGCTTGGGCTTCTCTTGGAGGCATTCTTCCCTCCGCCGCATTATTCAAAGGCCTTGTACCTCCTCCTCCTCCTTTTTGTGCCTGCTTATTTTGTCCCGCATTAAGGTCCGCAATGCTCAGGAGAGATCTCCCCTTGTTACTTTCCGCTCCGTCTTTTGGCTCTCTCGTGTCTTTCTCATGTTGTGTCGGGTCCATATTTTGTGGTACGTCTTTCCTTCATCTTTCTCAGGTTCCACGTTCTGCATGTCTACGTGATCCTTTGCTTCTCCCCCATGCAGCACATTATACCTATTGTATGAGCGTTGGACTTCACGATCTCTAGCATTGGCCATTCTTCTTGTTGGCTTCCGATTTTTCCTCTTTGCCACCATCCATTCACAATAGTCTCTCCCTTCAGTAGGATCATTGACTTGTGTCTCTGGTACCATTTCAACTTCACCTTCCGGAGGCTCTTCCTCAACCTTGCGGCACTAGCACTTATTAGAGGGGTTTCCATAACTTCCACAACCCGGCAAATGTTTTCCAACCCTTCATATTGGATCAAATACTTCACCCCTTCTATCTTGTATTGTGACAGGAGCGGTTTGGTAAGACCTACTTCCACACAAACTCTAGTATATTTCAAACGTGCTCCCAGCTCAGTAGCTCGATCAACCCGAACCGGTGTCCCTATCAGCTTTGCTATAATCATTACAGCCTCCGGGTTTGTGAATTCCACTGGCAGGTCTGGCAGCTGCACCCAAAATATTGTCGAGGTAACTTCCATCGTCCAAGGATTAAAACCCCGGAACCATCGATGGGCCGTTAGATAGGTATCTCCCAAGAGCCAAGGCCCGCCCAACGATGCCCTCTCATAATTTTTTTGGCTCTTGAATCTCACCAGGAAGCATCCGTTATTCATATCCGATATTTGGAGTTTGCCATGTCGTGCCCATAGAAAATTTAAACGTTTTTCCAGAGCGAGATACAACACTTTCCTTCCCAGCCCTTTGACTACTAGAGCTGACCTCCATTATTTTCTCCACTTGTTCTTTTGTGGCGCCGTAAACAACGCTGTAGGGCATTTTGGGTCTTGCTACTCATCTTGATATCATCAGTTTCCTTCTCAGCACTTGCTACATCTTCAGAGTCCGATTCCTCTACATACCATCCTTCCACTACCGTGTCCTGTTGGAAAAGTTTCGCCGAATCACCTTTCCACGCAGACGCTTTAGGGCTTCCTTTGCCTTCCGCTGTGGGCGGATCTTTATCAGCTTCCGTATCCATCTCTTCAGTTTGGACTTCCTAGTCGGCTTTATTATGATTCAGATCCATCGCTCGAACCTTCTTTTTTGGTTGGACGGTCTCCCTTGCGCTTTTTCCATCCGGCGACGAGGATACTGCTGCCGGCCTGCGATGGCCACTTAGGTCCGGTGGTTTTTCGGATGCTGCCGACACTCCAGCGGGCGGCGGCGCCGCCATGAAAACACGAGCAAGAAAACCTAGGGTTTAGTCGCCGCTCACAAATCACTCTCCGAGTCTTTCGGAGCTCGCCTCCTGGGTCTCAAGTTCCAAAGTTGTCAATCTTTTTTGTTTTTTAATTATCTAGCAACGCAATTTAGGGGGAATTCTGTGGTACAGGCACTGTACAAGTGCCGCCACTTTTTTCTAACCGGTTGGAATGGAATTTGTAAATTATTGGGTGACTCTAGTTTGGTAATTCAATTAATAAAACATAAATAAATAAAAAAGTGAAAAAAACCAAAAACAGCACAGCCGTTCCCTTCCACTCCTTTGTCCTTCCTTTGTAAACCAAGCCAAGACTTCTGTCGCAGCAATCCACCACCTCGCTATTATCGTCGATCGACCTCACCACCAAAATCACCACCGTCGTCAGGTTCGTATCCGCCTTTTGGTCATCGCCACCCTTCGTTTCTGCCGCGACACCCTCGAAATCGCCATCGTCATCAAGGCTCCCCTCCCCCGATTCAATTTCCCCATCCATGGCTACTCAAATCCTAGACCACCTTCAGAGCGTCATCCTATCAGTCCTGGCTGCCCGGTCATTCCCAACAACGTCCCTACCGTGGCAATCGAACATCATCATCGCAGTTGCCGCTGTTCAGCCAGAGGCACGAAGATCACCGACTGAGTCGAAATACCCATCGTCAGCAGGGGCAATGAAGAGATACGTAACCTAAAATCCGCTTTCAGCTTGTATGAGATAAGTCTTCAGTGTCGTTCTGATTTGGGTATTTTTGGATAATTCCTGTAGGCGTTAGATTGTGGAGATTGGGTGAACCAACATAATTTGTATTTGGATGGTTTCAAATCTTAAGTGTACTTATCATAAATCCCTTCCCAAATCTTCTACTTATTTTTTATTTCTGTGGTTGGTTGCCGTGGATAAGTCATGTGAATCCTTTTTTATTTAGAAAAGTAACAAACCCCAACAGAGCTAGAACTCCTCTCTTATCTCAACTAGTTACAGGTTCCTATATATATTTTGGTTTGTATTGGTATATGTAGTAGGCTTTTCAAACAAAGAGAAACATCATTTGGTGCAATGGAAGGGTTCGTTCTTTGTTTCTCTGAGTTGGTTATTTTCTTAATGAACTACAGAAGCAACAAATTAGTCAATTCCAAAAGCCAATCACACATGCAAATTGTGATAGAAACCGGTTTTAGTAATTTTAGTTAATTGTCGGATTGTTGCTATTTTAGATTGTTGGGACTATTTCGGGAATTGGGGGATAAATTATTTGTTGGGTAGTATTCGGAAATTAGCCATTTATTATATAAATAACTTGTAAGTGGGATTAAGCCACTAAGCAAGATTAAACCCTAAACAATCCCTAATCTCACCTCTCTCTTTCCCTCTCTCTGCCGAGCCCTTCCTCCCTCTCTACTGCTGCTGCCGGCGGCAGCCTTCTCCCTCACCCTAGCCATTTCACAAACCCCTTCCTTCTTCCATCCTCCAAACAACCTAATCACCATTTCGGTGATTCCTTTGTTACACCAAATCCCCAACCCCGATAGAACCTAACCCTAAGGTTCTATCATTTGGTATCAGAGCCTGGCTCTTGATTCCTGAGCACAGAAGTACGACGATCAAGATGGTGGCCACGAAATCCAAGGCTGCAGCTGAGAAGGCCACAAAGGCGGCGCAGGAGGCTGAGCACGCGGCGACCGGACAAACGTCCACCGGCGATGAAGCGGCCGACTATCCCGGTCCACGGGATGGAGAAATGGTGGACGAGACGCTGGGAGAGGAGCTCCGTGCAGAGATGACCAAAATGGCGGAGGCCATGGAGCAGGAGCGCCGATCTCGGCTGAAGGGTGAGCGAGCTAGGGAGACCGAGGCGCGAGCTCGCGAGGCGGAGGCGCAGAAGGTGTGGCTCGCCATCGGCGAGCTGAAAGCAATGTTGGCCGAGGCCTTGGGGCGAGTCGGAGAAGGCGGCGGCGCCGCGGGAGGGCCGGGGGCCCTGTCGGGCACCACGGCAGAAGGGTCGGGCTTGGGGGGCGGCCCCGGCGTTGAGGGCGTGGCGGCGAGCGCCGCGTTCGGCGGGGGCAGCGCCGCGGTGGGGCCTGCAGCGGGCAGTGACGGTGCGGGCACGGCGGGAGGAAAGAAGGCGGCGGGCACGGCGGCCGCCGACCCCGACGCGGGTCTCGAGGCGCCTGTGAAGGACTCGGCGGCGCTGATGACGGCCGGGACTGGACCGCGAGCAGGAGGAGGCGGGCCGGGAACCGGGCCGGTGCAGATTGGGCTAGGTATGGGCCCGGGCCTGTTACCGACACCTACGGCCCAGGAAATTGCAGCCCGGAAGGGAAAAGCCAAAATGCCCGGGTATGAGGGTGATGGGCCTCTCATGAACCGTGAACTGGACTTGGTGGGCCAATACAACCAGATCCATAATGCCCTGGGCTGGTTGGGACTGGAAGACGGGCCCGATGGTGATGAGCTTAGCTTGGCGGACCAACCGGTCAAGTGGGCTGAACCAGAGTTGGACCAGAGGGGGCCAGGCGGGCCGAGGAGGGCAACCGAACCGGGGGGGCAGACCGGAATCGGGCTGGCAGCGGCTGACCGGGTCGAGTTGAGTCGAACCGGGCCGGGTCGGACCAGTATGGGTCGACCGGAGGTGGGTCGGAATGGGCATCACCCGAGTCCGACTGTTCAGCATTACCGGAGGATGGACAGCAGGGAACCGGACCGTTGGGAGGGTCCATACGGGGCGCCTCCAGCGCCAGGAGGGCACCCGAACTCGACAGGCAGCCATCCGGGTGACTTTGGCCAGGGGAATCCAAACCGGATGCCGGGCTTTTCTTACGGGCAGCCGTGGGGGACTCCAGGAAATGACAGGTATGGGTCTCACTGCATGAACTATAAGGGCATGGATGGTGTAGTCTTTCGAGCTAAGCCTCCGACCATTGAGGATCCTAAATTCAATGGGCAAGAGGATGCAGGTTTATGGTTGTATGCAGTTGAGAGGTGGTTCAGAAACCACCCGATTCCGGAGGAGAGGAAGGCCTATCTAGCATCCTTCTATTTGGAGGGAGATGCACTGCAGTGGTGGGAATGGATGGAGCGGTCGTACGCAGCCGCTTCCACTCTGATCACCTGGCCTATGTTCCAGGAGGAGCTTCGCTATCAGTTTGGGAAGTCAGACGGGTGGGCCCCTGAGCAGTTGGCCAAATTGAAGCAGACAGGCACGGTGGCTGAATACCGTGCAGAGTTCTTCAAGTTGGGGAATCAGTGTAAAGGGGTCTCAGAAGACACCCTAGTTGGGCTGTGCATGGCGGGTCTGAAGCCCGAGATAGCGGCGGCAGTCAGGGTGTTCGAGCCTGGGTCCCTAAAGGCGGCTTTCCGCCTTGCAGGTCATAAGGAGGAGGAGCTGGCCAGCTGGAGGAGTGTCATTGGCCGCTTTCCGAAGTCAGGGGGCGGTGGAGGCAGTAGCGGAGGTAGTGGAGGCGCAGGTGGAACGACCGGGGGAGGCACGACCGGGGCTAACCTAGGCGGTGGAGGCTCTGCTCCTGTGGCTAGGATGGGACCACGGCCCATACCAAAGGGGTTCGTGCGACTGTCACCAGCCGAGATAGAGCAGAAGAGGCGAGAGGGCAAGTGCTTCAATTGTGATGGGCGGTTCACCATCGGGCACCAGTGCCCGAAGCCGGACTTGATGATGCTGGTGGGACGCTGGGAGGATGAAGCGGAAGATGAGGCCGATGAAGGTGGGCATGGCAAGGAAGAGACCCAGTGAGCTAGAGGAACAACCTTGGGGACAAGGTTGTTTTTCGAAGGAAACGGGGATGATAGAAACCGGTTTTAGTAATTTTAGTTAATTGTCGGATTGTTGCTGTGGCAACCGTCCCGTCCGGGGGTCCGAATGTCGTCGCGTCGGCGTTTTTGGGAGTAGCCATCGATCTTACTTGGAGTGGATCGAACACTCTTCGGTCGGCTCTAACCTTAGGATCAGAACCGAGATATGGTCTGCAGTTAAGAGATATGGGTTCGGGAGTACGGTTACGTGTGGGGAAGTTAAGCAACACCCCCACAACGCCCTAAATCGGTACTACTTAAGTTTGATAAGTTTTATATTAATTGGGTGTGTTTTTAGTAATAATTTTTAAATTTTTAAGGTCCCACTGGACTATTTAAGAAATTAAATCGTATTAATTGTAATTTAATTATACGTCCACTGACGTAAAAGATAAAGTTAATTGGTTAGTTGGACTCGAACCTTATCGGTTGCCTACGTACCCGTAAGACGGGATCAAAGTCCACGTAGTTCGTTCGAACTTTGATAATTTAATTGTAATCACGTTCTACTGATCATGATTTTCGTATTATAATTTTTGTTAATAATAAAAATGCATTTAGATTATCATGAGGTTATGACGATAAATGCGAGTATTTTAGTTATTAGGAAGTATTGTGACGTATTGAAAAAAACGAGGTAAACTTAATCCGCAATTCTACATTTCGTATTAAGGATTTTGAAGAAATAAAATTAAGCGGAATGGTTAAATTGATGGATGATGGGCCAGCAGCCCAACTGGTTATGCTCCCAAGCATAGTGATGTTGTTGTTGGGGACGCGGGTTCGAAGTCTGCCAGCCTCATTTTTGTTTCGTCGCTTTTTGGTTTCAGAGAAAAGGGAGGGGCAATTTCGTAGTTTCACGAAAACGCGGTGGCAAGTCCACGTAATAAACGGGAAACCCTAGGGGTATTTTTGTCGTTTTAATCAATGGGGTATAAATACTCTCTAAAGAAACCCTAATCAATCTAAAGAGAGGCGGCCGCCCTCTCTCTCTCTCGTCCATCTCATTCTTGCCTCTCTCTCTCGATTCCTTCTTCCAGAAAACACACCAAAACCCTCAACTTCTCCTCTTCCAAAAAATAAACGAAACCCTAATCTTATCCCTCCTCTAGCCATCGCCGCCGTCACTCTCTCCTCATCCAGAGAACACAAACCCTAGCCTCTCAACCGCCGCCGCTCTCTCCTCTTTTCCTCTCGCCAAACCAGAAATCCATCTGGTTCCTCGTCGCCGCCGCTCTCTCCTCTCACCTCTAGCCTCTCAACCGCCGATCCCTCTTCTTCTTCCTACCTCTCGTGCTCTTTTCTTCTCTATCGCAGAAAGCAAAAACCCTAGCCTCTTTCCTATGCCGCCGCCAGCAAAACGACCCGGGTGAAGAAACTCCTCGGAGCTTCTCCTTTAGCCGCCGACCCTTTCTCTCCTCGATATGACGTAGGTCGCTAAAAATCGAGCGGGAGACCTTCGATCTAGGTAAGATCGTTGCATGCAAGTCTATTTTCTTTTGATTTCTGGGTTTTTGAATGAGGTTCTAACCCTTTTTCTTGTTTTTCTTTCGGAGATCGATCCAAAACCGAGGAGGGACTCTCGATCTACCTCTTTCTACTCTCGGTTAACTCTTCGGTGAGCTTCTCTTAAACATGCACGCTTAGATCTAATTTTTTCACACAAGACGTGATTTTAATCTTGATTTTTGTTTGGGTTTTTGGTGTTGGACGAGGGGTGAAGGAGGGCGAAGACCGGCGGCGACGTCCAGACCAAGGGACGGTCGACGGTAGGTTCGGACTAATTTTTTTGGGGTTTATTCGTATTTTTTTATTTCGTATTTTGGGTTTTAATAAAAATTTTATTTCAGTCGGGTGGAGGATGAGGGACTCTTTGGTCACCGAGATCTCCGTCGGCAAAGTTCAGCCGACGAAGTCAGGTGAGAATTTTATTTTATTTTTGTTTCGGTTTATTACCTCTTTAATCTATTCTGACCTCTACTTTTGTTTTGATGCAGTTATTGGAAATGGACAGATCTGGGTAAGGTTGTCCTAAACTCGGGTTAATATGATTGGGGTGGTTGAACTAAAAAAGGAAAGGATTGTGTTTCGGTTTATATTTGGTTTACAAATCTGTGGTTTGGAAATATGTTGTATGTGTGTTTGATGATCTCGAATATTTTCATGCTTGGTGGTTTGGTTGATGGTTTTAGAAGTAACTCCTAATCTGCTAGAATTTGGTAAGAAAGGAATTTTCTTTAATGAGAAGTAATTAATATGTTCTAAAATGCTTACTTTGACGAATATAAATCACAGCCTCTGCATGTGATTTGCTAAAATATTGACCACTAATCACTGTTTGTGTTTATGATTTTATTTGATGTATGATTTTCGATTGATTAAAGAACTGGTAAAAGTTTGTGAATCAGAAATTTATTATGTTTATGGTGTTTTTGTTGGGGGTTTGGATTTGGATCTAGATCTTGATCTAAAGAGATCAAAACTTTATCTATTTATACTACTTAAATTTGTTTATGTATGATAATATTGTGGTTATCGACTCTATAGCAAGAAGGGAAATTAAAACTAGGAAAATTTGGCTATAATAACTGCTTGTAAAATAAAAAGCGGAGTCATGATGTATGCTAAGCAAGTATAGTCAATAAATAACTAATTGCTAACCATAAAGAGCAATAGTAATTAGTGAGCATTTAAATGGAGGGAAGATGAAAAATGGATATTAGATGAAAGAAACTAATATGATAGAGACACTAGTAGTTAAAAGGATCTGGACAAGTGATTGATCGTAAATGGTTCTACTTGTATTATTATCTAAATAGACGAAAGAGTACAAATCTCTAACCTTGGACCTCAGGATCCTTTGCTTTTGCCTCTGGCTCGCCCAACTCGCTTGTAAAACGAAAATGAAAGATGTCTATGGATTCTCTAAGAAAGAACGATGAAATCTGTGTTTTCTCCCCTTTTTTCCCTCCTCTAAACAAGAGCTGAAAGAGATCATTTATAGTAAAAATGACGAGCCACGTGTCATTTATTGATTGGTCATTGTTGAGGCTGAAGTTGTGTTGCCTCTTCCTGATTGGTCGAATTTAAGGCCGCATCTCAGGCCTCCACCTACTAAAGTCGGTTCTGACTTGTCAGGGCCTGTTATGGATATGGTTATCCATTGGCTTCGGGCCGAGTTGGGCCTGCAGTTACGGGCCTGAGCATGGGTTTGGTCTACTCCTGAACCTGGGCTCCGTTTTGGGCCGAACTGGGCTCTGATTCTGGGCTTTAACTAACTGATTCTTCTTCTTCTCTCTTTTTTTTTTTTGCAGGTGCATTGCTGATGGTCTTCCACTCTTCCTTGCGTTGGGCTGGGCTTGATTCTTCACTTTTAGATAGAAAATATTCTTTCTTTCAAATTGTATTTGAGGATTGTATCTGTAAATTGGAACTCTTTGTAGTGATGTATGATTGTGTCGATCTTCCAATTCTTCGTTGATATTCTTCTAGCTTTATCATCAAACTTTGGATAATTCTCTAACACGAATTGCTAACCAAGACCCATGTTGCTCCTTGATTTGGTTTCATGAACCAAGTTTATTGTGTCGCACTTGATATTCCCGTGATAGACGTTAGACCGGACAAAATGTGGTGTCTACAGTTGCTATTTTAGATTGTTGGGACTATTTCGGGAATTGGGGGATAAATTATTTGTTGGGTAGTATTCGAAAATTAGCCATTTATTATATAAATAACTTGTAAGTGGGATTAAGCCACTAAGCAAGATTAAACCCTAAACAATCCCTAATCTCACCTCTCTCTTTCCCTCTCTCTGCCGAGCCCTTCCTCCCTCTCTACCGCTGCTGCCGGCGGCAGCCTTCTCCCTCACCCTAGCCATTTCACAAACCCCTTCCTTCTTCCATCCTCCAAACAACCTAATCACCATTTCGGTGATTCCTTTGTTACACCAAATCCCCAACCCCGATAGAACCTAACCCTAAGGTTCTATCAAATTGCCAGTGGGAAGCTCAGCAAAAAGCATGCGCTAGCCAAAGCAAAGGTCAAAAGAGCATACTGACAAAATCAAAACAATATTAGAAACATCACAATCTTTCACTAGCTAATTATTATGAACTTATTTATTATTATGACAAGCTTGCTGCAATAAGGATAATCAAACCTCTTTGTTAGCAAGTGAGCAGCCTTAAGTCAAAACTTGTCTCTGTCACTCTTCCACTAATCAGGTACTAATTGAGATGCATCTAGTGATCTATTACTTCAATACTCTAAAGATTATCAAAGAACATTGGTAAAGATGAACTATGTTGGACAAGAAGTGCCAATGGGAGGTATACTGTGCAATCTGGATACTTCCTTGGACTTCAAAGGCAGGCCGACCAAAATAATATGAATCAGCAGGAGAGGGATGATGATGGAGTGAATTGGAAGATTATCTGGAACTCAATCCTATGCATACAGATCAAGCCGGGTTCAAACACCAATAACATTAATCATCGAATTCACACATTACACTCCAAAATAGAGGAGTAATCAGAGAGACAATGCTGAAGAAGCAATAAGAATAGAACAAACCTGAACTTGAAATGGCCAATTCTAATAGCGGCGTTGACGTGCAGATTATCGTCACCGATCAAGAGAGCCCGCCGATAGCGGCGTTGACGTGCAGATTACCGTCGGCAATCAAGAGAGTCCGCCGATAACTCCCCGTTCGTTTTCCTGGTAGAACTCTTCGTAGCAGGTTTTAAAAAAAAACTGTTCGCAGGATTTTCATGGAAAGAGAAGCGTTGAATAATAAATTAACATTTTTTTATGACAAATATACGCACCGTTTTGGTCCCGATCAGTAATAAACGTATAATAATTACATAAATGAATTAAATATAACTAGGTTCAACCTAATATGGTTAAATGATTATTTATTATGGACGGTCCTAATTTAATAGCTTCAATCCCGCGACTGAAAGAGTGGCGGCACTCATGCAGTGCCTGCACCACAGAAAGCGTCCAATTTCGAGTCTATAGTAATCAAGGAAGAAAATTTCTTACTTCTTTCTTTTAAGCCTAGAAGTTTAAGCATATGCTTAAAGCATTGCTATTGACTGATAGGAATTTAGTTAGTATATGGAAGTTTAGTAGTTAGTAGGTTGTTAGAGGTAAAGGGGGTATTAGAAAAAATAATTAATGTCACTCATAATTAAAACAATTTTCCCTCTCTCCTAATATATAATGAAAATTTGTAACTATTAATTAAATATTATTATCTAATATTCAAACAAATTCTAAATTAAAATTTGAAATTCTAATCAATATTTAAGA